CGGTGGAGGTTCACCATGCTTACCTTAACTGTTGAAGGCGGCGTGAGGCACGCGATGGAGGATGAGGCGTGAGGGCAACGCGTGGAGGAGGAGCGGTGGAGCAGCGCGGCTGGAGGAGGGAGGCGGGAGGCGAGCGCGTGGAATAGATGGAGGCGGTGGAAGGGCAGGCGAGGATCGAGCGCGCCGGCGACAAAGATGAGGTAGAGGCGAAGGTCAGGTGTTGGCCGACGAAGATGAAGCGGAGGCAGAGGCGAATTTTTTGACGGAGGGGAATTTGAGGGTGCGGTTTAGGGATGAAATTTAACCCTAACATAACTCCCAAACGGTTTCAACCGTTTGGGCTGATAAGTTCCAAACAGTTTAACCCATTTGGGATCACCGTTTGGGTTTATTCAATAGCCTAAACGGTTTAAACCGTTTGGAATAATTTACCCAAATGGTTTAAACTGTTTGGGCTATTTTGACTTGCCCAAACAGTTCCAATAACCGTTTGGGCTGTTCTGTTTTGTACTAGTGACATAGTTGTTGAGAGTGTCAATCTCATTACTTGATGCTGAATTGCCTTTCAGGTTTGCTCTGTACCAGTCAATGATTTGCTTTCAAAAGATTTGAACTTTAGCCAATCCATGATTTTATTCCACACATTCATTGAATTAGAACAATAAAAAAATAGGTGCATTCGACTCTCGAGCATAGAATTAGAGCATAGAACACAAAAGTTCGATTGAGAAATACCCGTAGAAGAGAGCCTATTCTGGCCCATAGAAGAGAGCCTATCCTAGGTGAACAGTCTGCCTTGCATAGCTATCCACATGATAAATGAATGCTGCGAATAGTTCAGATTTTCCCAAACAGTTTTATGCCAAAGGCACCATATTTGATGAAGGAGCTGGGAATGCGGTGTACATAGCTAATAGTTTAACTTTTGAGTTGGAACAACTAGAGGGGATAACCTATTTGAGATTATCAATTAATTTCTCCATAAAATGCAATAGCCTTATATCTGATCTTCAATAAACTAGAGGGGATAACCTATTTGAGATTATCAATTAATTTCTCCATAAAATGCAATAGCCTTATATCTGATCTTATCTTGACTATGCATTAAGAACTGAACAACCCCAACCTCTCAATGCGGATAGCACTCCTGATGCAAAGAAGGAGCATGAGAAGTGGGAGCGTTCAAATCGCATGAGTCTTATGATCATTAAGCGCGGCGTTCCGGAAGCCTTCAGGGGCATAGAATCCGAAGGGATTACTAAGGCTAAAGATTTCCTTGCCGAAATTGAGAAGCGTTTTGCGAAAAACGATAAGGTAGAAACAAGCACGCTTTTAGCTCGCTTGATTTCAATGAAGTATAAGGGCAAAGGAAATATCAGGGAGTACATTATGGAAATGTCTCATATTGCTTCAAAGCTTAAGGCACTTAAACTCGATCTTTGTGACGAGTTATTAGTGCATCTGGTTTTGTTGTCTCTTCCTGCACAGTTTAACCAATTTAAGGTCAGTTATAACTGTCAAAAGGAGAAATGGACTCTAAATGAGCTCATTTCATACTGTGTGCAAGAAGAAGACAGGTTGAAGCAAGATAAGACAGAAAGTGCTCATTTGGCCTATGCCTCTAAGGATAAGGGCAAGAAAAGGAAGAATGATAAGGAAGCTGCTAAGGGTCCAGTTGAGAAGAAACAACATAAGGATAATCAGGGTTGTTTCTTCTGTAAGAAGCCTGGACATGTAAAGAAGGACTGTACAAAATATCACGCCTGGCGTGATAATAAGGGTACGTTCCTTGCTTTGGTCTGTTCTGAGGTTAATTTAGCTTCAGTACCTAGAAACACTTGGTGGTTAGACTCTGGTGCTACTACTCACATAAGTGTTTCTATGCAGGGTTGCCTGAGCTACCGAAAGCCAAGTGATGTTGAAAGACACATCTTTGTGGGCGACGGACAATCGGTAGATGTGGAAGCAATTGGGCACTTTAGGTTGTTGTTAGGAACTGGTTATTATTTGGATTTAAAAGATACTTTTGTAGTACCGTCTTTTAGACGGAATTTGGTTTCTGTTTCTGTATTGGACAAATCAGGTTATTCTTGTTCATTTGGAAACAGTCAATTCAGTTTATCTTTTAATTCAAATGTTGTGGGAACCGGTTACTTGAGTATTTATGACAACCTATATTTGCTTGATACAATTGCTTCTTACAATGAATCCTTGCATGTGGAATCACGTGGTACTAAGCGTAAATTAAATAAGGAAAATTCGGCGACATTATGGCATAAGCGCTTAGGTCATATCTCAAAAGGTAGAGTTGAGCGTCTTGTGTCTGATGGCATTTTGGATTCCCTTGATTTTTCGGACTTCGACGTATGTGTTGAATGTATCAAGGGAAAACAGACCAAAGTGAAGAGATTAGGTGCCAACAGATCTTCGGATGTCTTAGAATTGATACATACGGATATTTGTGGGCCATTCCCTACGGAATCCTGGAATGGTCAACAATATTTTATATCATTCATAGACGATTACTCACGTTATGGGCACCTATATCTTATTCATGAAAAATCTGAGTCTCTGGACATGTTCAAAGCCTATAAAGCTGAAGTTGAGAATCAACTCAACAGAAGAATTAAAACCGTCAGATCTGATCGTGGTGGTGAGTACTACGGTAGATATGATGGTTCAGGTGAACAACGTCCAGGACCATTTGCTAGATACCTAGAGGAATGCGGTATCGTCCCACAGTACACTATGCCGGGTTCACCTAGCATGAATGGTGTAGCTGAAAGACGAAACAGGACTCTTAAGGATATGGTAAGAAGTATGATTGCTCATTCTTCTTTACCAGAGTCACTCTGGGGAGAAGCACTTAAGACAGCAGCTTACATTCTGAATAGAGTACCAAGTAAAGCAGTTGCTAAAACACCTTATGAGCTTTGGACTGGTCGAAAGCCCAGTTTAAAGCATTTACATATTTGGGGATGTCCAGCTGAGGCAAGGCCTTATAGGCCAAATGAAAAGAAATTGGACTCCAAAACAGTTAGCAGCTACTTTATTGGGTACCCTGATCGCTCTAGGGGCTATAAGTTTTATGATCCCACTATAAGGAATATTTTTGAGACGGGAACAGCAACATTCTTTGAGGATGTTGAGTTTGGGGGGAGAAATAAGGTTAGAGACATTAGTTTTGAGGAGGAATTGGCTTCAGATCCAATCCATACAGTTACTTTTGACAATATTCAGGTTCCTATACCTGTTGTTGCTCAAGAAGTAAATCCGGAACCTCAAGATGATAATGTTGAACAACTCCCTGTTCCAGAAGAACAAACTCAACAACCTCAAGAACCAGTGCCATTAAGGAGATCCACGAGAGAAAGGAGAAATGCTATTCCGGATGATTATATTGTATTTCTCCAAGAACATGAGGAAAGTAGTGGAATGTTAGAAGATGATCCAATCAACTTCTCTCAGGCCATGAAAAGTTCTAACTCTCAACAGTGGATTGATGCCATGAATGAAGAGTATAAGTCTATGCAAGACAATAAGGTTTGGGAACTTGTCCCATTGCCAGAAGGTGCAAAACCAATTGGTTGTAAATGGATTTTTAAAACCAAGCGGGATGCAAACGGTAATGTGGAGAGGTATAAGGCGCGTCTTGTGGCTAAAGGCTATACTCAAAAGGAAGGCATTGATTATACAGAGACTTTCTCTCCGGTTTCATCGAAAGACTCTTTCAGAATAATCATGGCACTTGTTGCTCATTATGATCTTGAGTTACATCAGATGGATGTTAAGACTGCATTTCTCAATGGAGACATTGATGAGATGATTTATATGGTGCAACCAGAAAACTTTGTGTCAGGAGACCCAAAGAATATGGTTTGCAAATTAAGGAAATCCATCTATGGACTCAAGCAAGCTCCTCGTCAATGGTATCATAAGTTTCAACAAATAGTTATCTCGTTCGGTTTTGAGATGAACATTGTTGATGACTGTGTATATCACAAGTTCAGTGGGAGTAAGTATATTTTTCTGGTTCTGTATGTGGATGACATCTTGCTTGCCACTAATGATATAGGCATGTTGCACGAAACCAAGAGATTTCTATCAAAGAATTTTGAGATGAAAGATCTTGGGGACGCCTCTTTTATATTAGGGATCCAGATACATCGAGATCGCTCTCGGGGTATTCTTGGATTATCACAAAAGAGCTATATCGATAAGGTACTTAAAAGGTTTGGCATGCAAGATTGCAGACCAGGTGACACCCCTGTTGCTAAAGGAGACAAGTTTAGTCTCAATCAGTGCCCTAAAGGTAACCTTGAAATTCAGGAAATGCAGAAGATTCCTTATGCTTCGGCTGTAGGAAGTCTAATGTATGCTCAGGTATGTACGCGTCCGGATATTGCGTACATTGTTGGGATGTTAGGCAGATACTTAAGCAACCCTGGTATGGATCATTGGATAGCAGTCAAAAGGGTTATGAGGTATCTTCAGAAAACAAAAGATTACATGCTCACATACAGAAAATCAGAGAAATTAGAGGTCATTGGGTATTCGGACTCTGATTTTGCTGGATGCCAAGATAGCAGGAAGTCTACATCAGGCTACATTTATATGTTAGCAGGAGGAGCTATATCATGGAAAAGTGTCAAACAAACACTAGTAGCTTCCTCCACTATGGCAGCAGAATTTGTAGCTTGCTATGAGGCATCCAATCAGGGAATATGGCTGCGAAATTTTGTCACGGGACTGCGCATTTTGGAAAATGTTGAAAGACCACTAAGGTTATATTGTGACAATAAATCTGCAGTAATGTATTCCAATAACAACAGGAGCTCAACTAAGTCAAAACATATTGACATTAAGTTCCTGGTTGTGAAAGAAAGGGTACAGAGTGGACAGATATCCATAGAGCACATTGGGACAAACTCCATGATAGCTGATCCTCTTACTAAGGGATTGCCACCTAAGGTCTTTCATGAGCATACTGCTCATATGGGTGTGGTATTATTTGAGGATATTATGTTTTAGTGGGAGTTTGTATTTGTGGTGCTTTATGTTTGTTTGTATTGTCTGATCAGAATAAAGTTTTCAGTTAAGACACTCTGTTACATTATGTTTGGTTTTGACCTCACTAAGGAGGACCAGTTGAAAATAGACATGTACTGATCACATTGCATGTAATTTTCATGCTGCACATCCATGATTGATCTATGTCGTTTGATTGTATTGGTATATGTGACCATTGATGGGTCGAGTCACGATAAATGTGACGAAGGC